TCAGTTCTGAAGGTGGAAATGCCCCTTTCATGATGGAGCCCCATTTAGAAAAATAATGACCACGGGTTCCTCAGAAAGTTAATTAAAGTTCTATATATGTTTTACAAGAAGGAAGGTCTGGAAGCTGTACCTAAAAAGGATAGCCAAATAAACCCACCTGCTAGCTAATTCCCCTCTGATTCAAATCCATTATGAGGAATCCCAGGGTTTTAAGAACATGGATAAAAATGAAAAATAATCTCAAGTCCTTCTCTTTGCTAAGAGATTTCCCAGTCATTCTTACTGCTACAAGAAGATCTGCTGCTGACAGCACATTAGAAGAGTTTTAAAGGAAAAGGAGTAAGGGAAAGTCTAATAAAAAAATAGTATAGGCCAATAACAATGGCCAAAGCCTAAACCCTGAAAAGGTCTATGGACCACATGCAAGTCTCTAACTCTTCCCAAGTAGGCAAGACAGGCAGATAACACTGGTCCTTTCCTCTGGTGCTCCAAGCAATGAAGGAGGAGGAAGAAGGAAAGTTGGTGAACACCACGATTCCCTGTAACTGATGCTCAGCCATTACCCCTTCTGTGATTGTCCCCAGAAATCTCAGACTTCTCTGACCTTCTACCTACTCACAGGTTACATGCACCCCACCTGACAGGGGCTGTTCTAAAGCATAAACAAAGTATGGCTGCCTGACCTTGAATAGTGCTGCCCTGTGCTTGGCCACATTTAAGAGCATCTCATTGCTCCAATTACGAGTAGACTCCAATAAGGACATAAATAAGACCCACAGCGAGGGACATCTGGAGAGTAAATATGCTCATCGCATTGAGATCATTATATCTCATTACACCTGCTTTTAAAAATGCTGATTCATTCATCACGGATGTCAACTGATTTGGTCAGAAACTGAGGTGGGATCCCAGAAAAAGCAGGGAATAAAAATCCAAGGGTAAAGAAGGATATAGAAAGAGGAGCCATTAACTTCACTTTGAGACACAATGAGAAGTAAACAAGAAGGACCTGTGGAAGTGAGCAAGTGAAGGTCCCCATCTCTAAGCTGACTGAACAGATCATAATATCCAGAGTCAGCATTTAAATGGCACCTGCTATGGGCCAGGTGTCATTCTAAGCATTTCACACATATTTATGTGTCTAATTCTCAAAATAAGGTATAAGACAGGTGCCATTGTCATCTCCTTTTTGAAGATGAGTCAATGGAGATACAAAGAGTTTAAGTAGCTTTTCTAAAATAACATAGATATTGCCTTCCATTTACATAGCTTTTTCTTTGTTTAGGCAGTACAGTCTGTCTTTTATAGAAAGTTTATAATTTCACATACAATACTTTATCCCATAAATGTTATCTCTTCAAAGATCCATCATGCCTCTGGAAAAAATACTGAAACCATTCATAAACTGGAATATGGCTTAATTAATGTATAATGCTCCCAACATCTCAAAATAAAGCTGATCTTATAAGTCCACGCATTTCACTAATTTTGGGCCAGATTCAAAACAGAACTAGCCTTTACTCTCAAATTGTCCTTAACGCATCATCTTGGATATGTTAATAAATAAAATAGATTCTGCCAGTAGATAGGAAGGTAAATGCATTTTTATTACCTCAAATGTCTTAATTAACTCCTACTGCTAATGATATGGCAATTAAGGTTTAACTATGTTGCAAAGGATACATCTGCCAGATTTCTATTGGGTCATACTGCCAAGCATCACTGAAATCCAATAAAATTGGGAGGTTAGACTCCAATTCTCAAAGAATTCAAATCTCAATGAGAAAAACAAGTGAAACTAAGGTGTTAGGTTCACTGCAGCATGTTTTCCTCACACACACCTGTTTCCTGAAAACTGCCTTTCTCTGTCCTCATCTTCCTCTGAGCACAAGGAAATACAACGTGGTAATACTCGCTCATGAAAGTGTTTGAGGATATACATCAAGCACCACTGGTAAGTTCTTGCATACACTGTTTTAACCTCCTTTGGTTCAGAGCCCTGGAAGGGAAGTTATGGTGATATGTGCTGATCTACCTGGACTTCATGAGGACCAAATGCAGAGACCAGGTCAGGAAGGCAGGGCCATTTTAGAAGCTAACTCCTATGGTGGATAAAGATGGCCACTCCCTTTAAAAGAAGGGCCAGACTCCAGAAGTGGAGTCTATTTTCCCTTCTCTTGAATCTGAGTTGGGCCTCTGTCTAGCTTTATACAAAAGAATGCAGCAGATGGGGAACCACGTCACTTCCAAGGCCATGACTTAAGAGATTTGTAATTTTCACTTTCATTCTCTTGGAACCCAGTTATCACAGGGAAAAGCAGCAGTCACATGGAGGGAGAACTGAGACACCAGGTGGCAGCCCCAACTGAGCTTCCAGCCAACAGCCGGCACCAAAACCAGGTCAAATGGGCAAGCCTTGTTGGATGTTCCAATCCAGTTAAGCCTCTGGATGATGATAGCTTCAGGTGATGTTGCATGCAGAGAAAGACATCTCAGCTGACCTCCATCAACCCACAGACTCTGAACAGATCATAAATGACAGTTGTTGTTTAAAGCACTAAGGATTGAGGTGGCTTATTATGCAACAGTAGACAGTCAAAACCTTCCCAAAGCATCTTAGAGACCCAGGTTGAAACTAGTTCCTGCTTGCTACAGCCTTTTCCAGGACAAGTCATGACAGATTCAGAAACATGAAGGTGGCTAGGATGGGACTGAGACGCACACTTTCCAACAGGGCGGCCCTGAGCCAGACTGACTAAGTCTGAATCCTGGCTTTGCCTTTTACTAGATAGGTACCTAGTAGAAGTTACTTAACTTTACTGTGCCTCAGTTTCCTTTTGAGTAAAATAGAAATATTCCTCACCTCTTAGATTTGTCATGAAGATTAAATATCCGTATCCATATACGTAAAACGTTTAGAACAGTGCGTGGCAAAGTATTTGTGAATATTATTTGTTCTCTGTTCTGGTCTACATCCAAGAAACCACCTGCTCACAAGGAATTGGCCTCACACAGATACAAGTGTATCTGATGTAGTCCTGGAAAGTTATTTCATTTCCAGCATGTTCTGAGCTATCATCATCACATTCGTATCAACTTTGTTTCTACATATGATTTTGTAGGTCACTACAACAATCAGATCAGGTTACAGATAATAGTAGTATTTACAGATGTCATAATAAAATTAATCCTAAATATGCTAGTAGTACTGGATTCGTTTTTGGGTTTTAGTTCTTTTTTGGGGAAAAGGAAAATCATATGCATAGTTTGGGGAGTTACTTCTTAAAAATAACTATGGAATCTTTTTTAAATGAAGCAAGAGACAGTAGTAACCAATTCCTTTTGCTAGAGGATTAAAATTAGTAAATACTATTTTTCCCCAGCTCTTTATCTCTTCTTTATTTTAAAATGTCCACCAAGTACTTATCTCTATTTACTTCAAAATTAATCATCCCAAATGAATTAACATATAGTTGCCATAAGTTCAAGCTTTTGAAATAATCTTCTGTTTCAGCCAATGAGCGTCTGACCATAGCTCTTCTCATGGAACTTTTCTCTAGAGCCCAAAACTCTCTCATTTCTTATCTTCCCACATCCTTCTATAGATAAAACTGTTGTAGATCCAGTTATACTACCTATATGCTGTCTTTGAAAATGGTTTCATCTATTTTTCAAGACAACTATGATGGATTCATAAATTGATACCCAAGAAGTTCAATCAGAGGTTCTGGGAAAAGGTGTCAGGTTTGTGCCTGTCTTCAACATGATAATATCACTCATCCATATTATTTATGCTTTCTCTTTCCAAATTATTCATAAGCCCTAGGTCAGCTTGAGAAATACATATTTTCATTTTGTGCTTGCTAATCATGCATTAAATGGAGACTATCAGAGATGCAAATTAATTGCAAACTATATAAAGGATGCAAAAATTTTAAACTATGAAATTTAAATTCTTAATGCACTAGTAATTCAACTTCCAGGTTCCTTCTGCAAACACTAATAGTTCCACCTATATTACATTGCTGAATAAAAACCAAACTGGATGATTTAGATAGCAACAAGGAACACGAGAGTTTATTGCATTTTCCCCTCCCAGCTTCGCAATTCCCTATTCTTTTTCCTTCCATCATTCCTTTGCCTCTGTTTTGAACCCTATTCTTTTATTTCTACTTAACTTCAGCCTACCAGATAACATTAATTACACATTATTCTGCTTTTCCTTAAGATAGCATTCCTAATATTGTATATTCTACCTGTCTGTTCAAAGAACCTGAATCTGTTTCACAATAAATTTTAGGCCTATTTTCCAGGGCATTTGTAGATTTATGTGTATTGTGTTATTATGTGATTAACACAAAAAGTTTAAGAAAATGTAAGAATACTATTTCAGTAGTATTATTGAGAGTAACTGTTGCGATTACTTCTGCATCCACTATGTAGCTGAACACAGCAAAGAAGAAAATCAGCAAAAATTTAACTGCGAAAGAACATCATATGAAAAAGAAAGCCTGGTTAAGTGGAAAGAGCATTCAGATTAGAACTAATAGGTTCAACCAAAATTTTCATACCAGTAAAGTTTTGCTTTACTTGTATCTGTTCTCCATAAATGGAGCCCACTAGAGCTTAAATGCTTAAGTTAACAAAATATTAATAAAATCAACTGTGTAACATTTCTAATGAATAAAATTGATGTAAGTGGGGGTATAAGTCATCTTACCAACTTGCCTTTTTAGAAGGCAAAAAGATGGGTATCATTTTATCAATAAGTAAAAAATTAATGAAGGAAACCATTTAATTAAAATGTCTTTTGAGTTTCTCAGATAAAACGTCATGACTTTCTCAAAACACATGTTTACAAATTCTAAATCTTGGTTTTACTGTAATTTGCACAAAATGTTTTTAAGTAGCATAAGTAAATATCCTTAGTAATAACTAAGCTTAAGTGCATTCATGTTAACAAAATTATTTCAGGAAAAATAAATGTTGAAACTGCTTACCTGGCAAGGTTGTTTCATTTTAATGGCTATAACATGGTATCTATAGCAGCAGAGTTCACAGGTCCAGGAACCTCTCTCACTGATCCACTTTAGCAGGCACAGCTGATGTGTATACCGAACTGACCCATCACATCGGCAGGGATTCAACAGCTCACCCTAAAAAGAAAACAACTCAGTGTGAATATTTGTGTCTGTGGCTCTATTTTAAAAACCTAATGCTGCCTTTCTTTTCTTTCAAAGCCATTTACTCAGGATACAGCATCAGGCTCTATCCTAGGAAATGAAATTAAAATTTTATACCTCTGATGGGAATGAAACTAAAGTCTTAAAACTATTTCAAAGATATTACTTACAGTTATGACATAAATGTTCTACCAACATACAAAATGTCTGCAAGATATAGCTCCCAATACCCGTGGGGGAAGGCTGTACTATTAAATCTCTTTAATAACTTTTAAGTGGATGGTCAGATGCATTTCCTCTGCAGTTATTCTTAATCATTGCTAAAGAAGAAACGCACGGCATCCCAGAAAGCGGCATTATGCTTTTATTTTTCTAAATGTAGCATCATAAATATTGACTTAGGGCACTATATTCCTGAAAGCCTGTATATTCTTATGCAATTTCCTTACTTTTAAAAACATTACACCTAATGTTTTCTCAGACCACACATTTGCAAGGGACATATGCTATCCTTTCCTCTGCATGATTATTCTCACATAAGTTTGCATGCACCTACAATGGTGTTTATAATTTTAGAATTGTGTTGCTGACAAAATATAACGTACATTGTTGGCATAATTGCCTTTCTTTCAAAGTCCATTCCTATTTCTCTTGTAAAAACTATCACATGCTTTTCATATCCATGAGATTAAGTCACCCAAATTTGCAATAAGGAAAGACTCTGCCCTTTCTGGTTGTGATATGACATCCGTCTCAAGATACATCTGTAGAAAACGGACTTCACCTTACATCTGATAGGTTTGCTTCTAAGCATAAACCAAAATTCATCGAATAATTCACAAAAGCTACTTTTGGCATTATCACTAAAGCACCTGAGGAACATGTACCTGCTAAGCCATGAAGGAAAAAAAAAGTGTAGATGAAATTAAACCCAGTATTCGCCACTGGGACATTTTTATTTGCCTTCATAGGAATGGAAAGGGGAACGCACACTGGAGCTAGCGCTCACAGGGCAGAACCAGAGGAGCCTGTCTGGAGGCAACTGGGAGGGAGGCGTGCGCTGTCCGTGGTGCTGACAGCTTGACCGTTGCGAGCTGGAGCCGCCGCCGGGCCTTACCTGCTCCGCGCCCTGGAAGCAGATCTTGCAGATGGGCTGGTGGTGCTGGTGCTGGTGCCCAGAGCGCTGGTCGCCGCCGCCACTGCTGCTGCTGCGGCTGCTGCACACCGAGCGCGTCTCGGGCTGGTCTCCGGCGCCCCGCCGCTCGCCCTCGCCGCCCGCGCTGGCCTCAGACTCCCCGGGGCCGCCTTTCGCTGCCGCCACCTCCGGGAGGCGCCTCGGACCTTCCCCGGAGTCGCCGGCCGCCGCCACTTCCTGGCCGGCGGGCTGCAGGGGCAGGGGCGGGGGCGGCAGCTCGTCCGCACCCCTGCGCCGCTGGGCCACCTCCCCTGGCGGCTCGCTCGGCCCCGCGGCGCGCTCGGGGGTCGCGGGGGTCGCGGGCAGCGGCGGCAGGTAGCGCGGGGCCGCGAGGACCGGGGCCGGCTCTCCTGGCGGCGGCGGCGGCTGGGGAGGTTGCGGGGGCGGCTCGGCGTCCCGGCTCTCCGCCCCACGACACCGACTGCCGCCGTGGCCGCCCTCAAAGCTCATGGTTGTCCCGCCGCCGCCCTCCTGCCTACCCGGGCTCTGGCTGCGGGGAGAGAGAGCGCGGAGGGGGTGGGAGGGAGGGGGGAAAAGGAGGGAGGGGACCCAGGCGCCTGGGGCTGGGAGGCGGGACGGGAAAGGGGTGCGGAAGGCCCGGCGGCGGCGGCAGGCGCGGCTGTTCGGTGGAGCCGCCGGCTCGGCTCTGATGGAGGCGGCGCCGAATTCGGCTGCGCGTGAGAGCCGCGCTGCGGAGCGGGGGGGCCGGGGAAGCGAGGGGGCGGGAGGGAGGAGCGGCGCGGCGGGGGCGGCGGGGCGCGGGCGCGCGGCGCGGACGCGGGTGGGTGGCGCGCGCGGTGCCGGCCGGGAGGAGCTCGGCGTTCAGCCCCGAGGGGGCGGGCTGGAAGTGGGGGATCCCTCCGCCGCCTCTACGGGCCGGACCCGCGGCCGCTCCCGTCGGTTCTGGGGCGGATGACCCCTCTCCAAACGGCGCAGCACTGCGGCTCTCGTGAGCGGGGAAGGAGGGGGCAGGGGAGAGGCCGCGGGTCCAGAAACCGTTACTGGATGGGCCGGTGGGATGTGGCGCGGGCCGGGTGGGGGCGCGACAGTCTGAGCCGAGACCCGCGTGGGCTTGGGGGCGCGCCGGAACCGGCTGAGCAGTGGCGCGGGAAAGGGCGCGGGACCCGGGACTGTAACCGCCACTTCCCGGCGCTCGCTTCCCGCGCTTGGAGCCCTCAGGGGCACTCTCAGGGATCCCCGAGAGCCTTAAAACAGAAGTCTCTGTTTTAACCTGTGTCCTCTCCCTGTCTGTCCCGCCCTCGAATCCCTGTGTCCTCCTCACCCGCTCCCTCCTGCAGTGAGCATCCCGGGTTGTTGGTAAAAATCTTGGTGCCTGGGAGGTCAGAGCTTCGTCTCCTGAAATGGTTTATAGTAGTGAACCCTGGCGCCACGTTTTGTGGCTTATGATCACTTTCGTCCTCGCTGCATGAGGAAGCATATGACACCGCCCCTTACCCTGGAAAAGTGGCTGCAGCTTTCCCCAGATCTTAGTTTTACTCACCCCGAAGTCAATTTCTCGATAACTCCACCCTGCAAAACCTCTGTGGGACTCATCTTCAGGGCAGAGCTACAGTTTTCTTTCCGGGGGGGGGAAAAAAACATCCCCACCTGCAGGGAACTAGGCGGAGAATCGTGCACATGCAGTAGTTTCCAAATCCGTGCAGTGTGAGATCATAAAGCATCGGATTTGTATGCGGCAATGTGTCTATCCAAATTTTCACTGATGTGACGCTTTCAGTCTTTGACACAAACGACACAGAGCAGTCATTTTTGGCCGTGTTTCGTAGCCGAAGACCCAGAATCAGAAAGGCAAAATAACTTGTTCAAGGTTATAGAACTATTAACAAAGAACTTCTGTGTTCCCTGACTCCAGATTTTCTGGTTCAAATGCCAATAATGTTTTCTTCCAATGCTTTCTTCTGCCTCCTAAAATAGTATTGTAGTACATTGTGTGTTTGGCGCCATTGACTCCCATTAATAGTTAGATACTCTGTAATGGCTGAGATAAACTACTAGCTTAAGTTCATTTTTCTAGTTCACGTTTTAGTAGTAAAAAGTATATTTGATTCTTAAAGAAGACCTACCTCTTTCGATAGAAATTAGTTTCATTTGCTAGAGAGAGACGGTTGTGAAAAATAATTCAAGAATGTTTTGTCACAAATGGCCTCTGATGAACTAGTTTCCAGGAATGTCCTCTTAACACTTAGACCCTTCAGACTGGCTATTTTTGGTAGCAGAGTGGCAGGCAGCAAGCACATTTTTAAAACAATAATCTCCAGGAACTTACCACGTTGAAGAAATGTGGTTGTAGATATGCTTTCATTTTTGGTCTTCACCTGTCAGAATGACAACACAAGTTTGTGTGTTGCCACAGTCAAGATAATCATAAGCCTTATGATCATCATAAACCTTCTTCATAAGTTCTCGAGTTAAAGGGTGTCTAGATTTGTACAGAATCCCCCAAATAATTCCATTTATGACTAGCAAATTTCTACCAGGTGTGACAAAGTGCATCATTACTCGAAGGACAGCATAAAAGCTATGGGTTTTCTATAAACGGTGTAGAGTAATTCAGACAGCAAAGCGGCATGGATAAAGGGGGAAAAGGCCACAAGGCTAGATGTGTCCTCTCAGTTAATTGTTTCTGAAAAATAAAAAAAAAAATTAAGTTTTCTTGCTAAGTTGGGTAGCCACATGAGATTCTTTCCTAGTTTCAGTGACCTCCAAAGCTGACCGGTCCCTAAAGAAAGGAAACTTGTTCATGATCTTCAGTTAACCCAATGAATTTTCAATGGATCCAGGCAAAACACCTCCTTTCTAACTTTGACTACATCCTCTGTCATAAAAATATAAAATAATGGAACGCAGAAAGGATGAATTCCTCTCAGCTGCTGGCACCCAAGTGGAAGAGAGATGGAGACACAGACATCAGATAGAGCAGTGCACCGGCAGCCACTGACAGCCATCAGTAGCAAGGTGCATCTGCCAACTGAAAATGAATGAGGGGAAACACAGGTTTATTAAATTTGAGCAGATATTGAAAGGATGATCAAATCTTCAAGATGCCAGTAAACGAGCCGTTCGTTCATTTAGTTGTTTAAGCCAAAATCCTAGGTGTCATCCTTGACTTTACATCAGACGTTCAGTATGCCAAAATTTCTTTCAAATGTACTTTCAAAATATTCACCAAATTTCACTACACCTTTTCACCTCCATCCCCACCATCCCAATTAAAACCACTATTATAATGCATGAAACTGTCAAAACAACTTCCTGTCTCCCTGCTTCTCATTCTTGAGCTTACACCCTGCACAAGCCAGGATGATCCAATTCAGGTTTAAGTCTAGTCATGTCATCTGTCTACTCAGTACCTGCCAATGGCTTCTCATCACACTTAGTGTAATACCAAAAATTTTAGCATCCCCTGCAAGTCCCCAGTGTAGCCTCTGGCTGCCTCTCTAAAGACCTCTCCATACCCTCCCCACCACCCTACCCTACCCTCCCTGCTACTCATTTCTGCTACACTGGTATCCTTGCTATATCCCAAGTACACCCCCTCTACCCATCTTCAGTTATTATGGCTCACTCCCTCACTTCATGCAGATCTCTGCATTTCATAAAAAACACCTTCTGGCCGGGTGCAGTGGCTCATGCCTGTAATCCCAGCACACTGGGAGGCCGAGGCAGGTGGAGCATCTGAGGTCAGGAGTTCGAGACCATCCTGGCCAAAATGGGCCAACATTGTGAAACCCCATCTCAACTAAAAATACAAAAAATTAGCCAGGCGTGGTGGTGGGCACCTGTAATCCCAGCTACTAGGGAGGCTGAGGTGGGAGAATCACTTGAACCCGGGAGATGGATGTTGCAGTGAGCAGAGATCACGCCTTTGCACTCCAGCCTGGGTGATAAGAGCAAGACTTTATCTCAAAAAAAAAAAAAAGATCTTCCATAACCTTTCCATCTGATAGAGAATTTTCCACTCTCATTTTCCCAGTTTTTTCATCTCACCTTACTACTCGACATTATATATGGATATATTGTGTGTATTTTGCTTGCCTAATGGTGTTAGTCATTTGTTGCCATGTCTAAGTGAGGTCAATGTCTCGGATCACCTTGATTTCATGTTCACGAAAGACATCAGAAATTCCAGCGTTTATCAGTTCTACCCTTAAGTTTGGTACCATTCTTTCTGCCAATCTTTCTAGCTTTGCCTCCTGCTTCTCTCATTGTTTTCTGTCCCTGCTGGTTCTTCCACTCATATGGGCTTCCAAATCTAAGTCAGCTGGCCAGTCCCCTCTCTTCCCTTACTGAGAAGAGACGTAGACATAGACATGTCACTTAGCTTGAGTTCTAGTCAGAGGATTAAAAGTGTTATACAAGTACAGAGATATAAGAGTTCTGCAGAAGAAGTATGATTTATTATAAGAAAGTTCCTCAGAGTGGGTCATTTGAGCTGGGATTTGAAGGCTACGTAGGAGTATGTCAGGTGTGCTTCATATCAGCAATAACAAAATCAAAGGAACAGAGAAACTGCCGTCATTGTTAAAGTGACCCTATCTCTACAAAAACTACAAAATTTAACCATGGGTGGTGACACACCCCTGTGGTCCCAGCTACTTAGGGGTGTTGAGGTGGGAGGATGACTTGAGCCCAGGAGGTTGAGTGTGCAGTGAGCTGTGATTGTACCACTGCACTCCAGCCTGAGTGACAGAGCGAGACCCTGTCTCCAAAAAAAAAGAAAAAAAAAAAGGAGATAGTGACATAAAAGTATAAGTGATAAGTAGGACAAACCTACCACGTATTGAAATAATAGAAGACAAGCACCTTTTGCTGGAAAAGCATCACCGCAAGAAGAATTTCGTCCGTATAATTACCGAGAAGTCACTATTCCATGAAATGCAACCTAGAGCCACCGAAGTACCAAGAAATAAGCAAACTGGCCTCTAAAAGACCACCACAGCCCACCCCACACAATCACATAAAAATCCACTTACTAATGCTTCCACTTTCCAGTGAGATCGCTAGATATGCTCTATCTGACTTTAAATATAATCCTAATAAATACACTCACCTAATTTTCCTGTCCACAGCAAATTACAAATAACAAATCTGCAAATGTAAGCAGAGTAGCAGCATTATGAAATAACAGCTAACATTCCTGCCCTTGCCCCAAAGAAAGCAGACCCAATAATTTTAAAACCTCAGCAGGAAGCATTCATTTAAGAACAAACAGCTCTATACACAGCTGAGTAGCCACTGGAGGCATTATTTTGCCTTATATCCTGTACAATCACTGATGTTCATCACGCATTTGAGTCTCCAAGAGAAGTTTAGAGCTGGTTGATTGAATAGTAAAAGATGATGAGAGGCTTGTTCAGGAGATTCCCTTTCAATATGGTTAATTGCACATTTTTCCCATGTAAAATAACCAGATTAAAAAGTTTTCTCATACCATACTCCCCTCCCTCCACCTCCAAGCTTTGGTGGGTGCTCCTGTTAGACCTTACAGTGCCCCTGTGAGTATGCACCCTCACTGCCCTCCTCCAGCGGACTGTAAGTCACTTGAGGGCAAGTCATTTATATTCATGTAACATTTATAGTTTGTCCCCAGTGCTTAGTACAAATGCCTTGGCACATAA